AGCGTAGCAATGATAATGTAAGCCATGATTATTTATTATTTTTACGAGTGGTGTGACATACAGTGAGAATAATATGGGTCCTAAAGTGGAGCCCTGAGGAAGGCTGTAGAATAGGGCAGTTTCTGCTGAAGTTACATCATCAATGCAGACTAACCATCTTCTCTGGCTCAAGTACGATTTGAACCATTCAAGTGCTCTACCGTTAATACTGAATACTTTTTGAAGCCTAGTTATTAGAATGGTGTGTTCGACGGTATCAAAGGAAGCAGATACATCTAACAGTACTATTATGGAGACTCTACCTTGATTCATACTCCACAACAATAATAATAATAATAATAACAATAACAATAATAATAATAATAATATTATACATTTATATAGTGCATAATGCTGGGGTGCATAAAATAAATAAGAGAAAAAAAACGAAAAAGAACTAAAACAAGAAATAACCGAAAATTAACCAAGACTGCCATAAACAGTGAACACCATCACCACTGCACCTTTCACTGGCAATTTAAGGTGCAAGACCCTCCAGTACATTAATTATGAACATTTGCCTCATCATCATCATTGTCATCATCGTCATTATCATCACTACTATCGTCATCATTAACATACTCATGTAATTTCCTTCCCATGTTTGCATTCTCAAATAATTTATTCTCATAAATTAAATTCAAAAATGAAACTTCACCAATGCCATCTCCATTACCATGGTTACTTCCCATGTAGGCTTCATCACTTTCATCGGAGTGTGTGCGCATGTGATTGGCCGAGCCGTTGAGCAGTTGTAATGGGGTATGTAGTTCAATGAAGCTTTCATCCTGCGTGCCCTCGGATGTTCCCCGACCACTGTCTCCACCACTGTACCAGCTTACAGATAATTTTTCATTCCTTGTTTTGAGCTCGTCAAACACTTCTGGAACACTAACATCAACCTAGCAAAATAAAAAAGAACTACTATGATATACATAAATTAATTTGATTTCTGGTAAAATTACATTATGTTAAAGTGTTTGTTAGGTGCAAAAACATTTAAAAAAAACTTAAAATACTTATAATATTTACTGAGTCTACTCTAGTAGAAAATTATTTAGCACTGAGAACTATAATTCGAGAATATATTGTTTCACCAATTAACGAATAGGCCCACATACGGCCAAAAAAAAAATGTTTGTGTTGGCCACGTTTTGGGAAAATCCCAAAAATGGGTAGGTCGGTAGGAAAACTTTTTTCTATATCTTTTTTTTTTTTAACCAAAAAAGTGTTCAAGCTTAAAAAGTAGAAAATACACAAATCATACAATTTTGGATTCGCATCGCATACCATGCACCAAAATAGGCTAGGCCTTGGCCCCTTATCCTAGTCCAAGGCTATTCCAGCCTTAAATCTCATGAAAAGAAAAAAAAAATTATTGTTCCTTGTAGATTAAAAAAAGGTAAGGTAAAAAATGCCGACCCTGAATTTCGTAAAATTTGGGTAGGTTGGGCAGGTCCAACAACAAGACATTCAATTTGAGACTCAACAGTCTCAAATTATTATATTATTACATTATTATAACATTATTATAGTTAAGTTTCTTTTTACATTTATTTGTTTGTTTGTGAACTATGTTGCGCTTTAATTTCTTTACCGGCCTAAAGTTATAGCCAAGTTATATTCTTTGCAGAACATTAGATTAATTAAAAGTAATATACTGCCACCCAAAAATAAGAAAACCTCAAAAAATTATATGGAAATGTTAATTGCTCATCCACAAATCACCAATAAGTCATGATCTTATAAAAAATATTGGTCAATGATTCACAGACTTTTTACTACCGGTATCCATAAAATTGCTGGTAGAAACTGAAGGGCTTGCATGATACTCCTCCATATCTCTCTTGTTTGTAAATTATTTGGATGAGTGAATTTATTGTGTAAATTTAATTCAGAACTTGCCCTTATTTTTAACATGCATTTCTGATTTAATTTGGAAACATTCGTTTAGATGACCCCAAACTTCATTGTCAATTTCCCCTTCCTAAAATAGTTTATATCATAATGCAAATTCTACACACATGGCGAACAAAATTCATTAAGATTTTGAAATAAATTGTAGAAAATCTTCACTTACACATTGATATTTAATTTTAGGAGGAATATTCGGTTCTGGAATTTTCCAACACAATCTTTTGGACACCCACCGATAAGCTTTGAAGAGAACGATAATCGTTGCTGCGATAACAAATCCTGCCAGAATCAGGCCTGTCATGGCATATAATTTAACTGAAAATGAAATTCAATTTTTAAGTGAGGGGACTTCAGCTGGAAAATTAAAGTGAACCGAGGGCATGTGCCCCCAATCTCCTCCCCATCATCAAGTAAGCAATGGATTTACAACCTTTTTAAGTCCAGTATTTGAGATGTAATGGTAATAAATAAACATAAGTGGTAGAAATGCAACGATGGTGAGCAGATGGCGTCATGTCCAGTGGCAGGGGGCTTAAGCCCCCATCGAACAAGTCAAGCCCCTCCCCCAACTGGCCAAGCTAAATGTTTTAGAATGAATAGTTACTGCATACTGTTATTTATTCTTAATAGAGGATTTATTTGGAATCCAGACATCAAGTCCTGTAATTGATTTTTAATAACCAACTTTCTATTTACATATTATTAACAACACACACTGACATTATCGTTATTCAATATCCAAACATCATCTGATGATGTGCATTGGCTAATACTATACTTTTTATATTTAAGTCATATAACAACATTTACTATAGAAAAAATATGATAGCATTAACATCACTATTTAGTTTCTAGTGGACTTTAGTTGGAGGGAAATTTGGTTTGGTCTACAATAAATCCATATCCAGATATGGATTTTGTGACTTCGCCGATGCAGTGTGCACCCAGCTTTATACCCGCCAATGACGTCCAAGATCATGTAGCAAAAACAATACCTCATGCATAACGTTAATACATTTTCGTTTAATACCTTTATTCTGATCTTCCCTGACCAAAGGATCTTTTGGATTCTGATCCGGCTGATTCGGAGTTGAAGTAAATATTGTAACTGTTGTACTTGTAGATGTAGTCCTCATCTCTGTGCTGACTGGATCATGATGACCAGGTGTTGTCGATGCTTCATATCAAAGGTAATAAAAGCAATCTACGTTTTCACACAGCAATAATATAATGTTGCCGTAAAAAATTCAAAATTACCACAATCTAATTGAGCTATTCAAAGTTCGTATTATAACACACAACAGAAATGTAAATAAAAATGGCTTAATGGGTACTGTGGTGTAATGGGTGAGTGGGTTATGGATGGATGGTGAAATCGATGGGTGGGTAGTAGGTTGTGGTACTATAATTAATGAGTTATTGTATTTAATACCTCCTGTGGATGGGTGGTGGATGTATGAATGAAATGTTGGATGTTATTACATTTTTTACAATTATTTACCTGTAAATCGTAATTGTATGTCACTTACTGAAGAGATACCAATAAAAACAATATAGGCCTATTACTTTTGTGTCCTTGTTTGGGCTAAATGTTAAAGGCCCATCGTTTATTTTGTGTACTTTCTGCTCTTACCATCCCCTCCAGTGTGGAATGTGATGCTTTTTTCTTCACTCCATCTGCCTTCAATACGGTAACATTGAGCCATATATGTGTATTGTGTATCATAACTGAGTCCAGATATTGTCCATGAATTTGGTGGGTACTGAAACGTTTTAGTTTTGCATTTTGCACCGTCTCCAACAGGTGGTGATATTTGACAAATTCGTTTATCCAATAATGAGAATGAATTGAAATTCCAATCTTCAGGATCCTCAAACTTAAACTGAACTGTTGTATCATTTAGAAGCTGATAGGTAAAACTTTTGAGTGGATTGGGTATGGCTATTAGGAAAACATAAGAATAAAAGTCATTAAGATTTTAGGGCTGGTACAGGTACCTTCAATACTGTGCATCCATTGTATGTACGGTTA